TTTCTACATGAAATAAATTCTTATATCTTTTTAATATAATCCCTGTTGTATTGACTTAATTCTTGTATATTCCGTGAAATTCATTCAGAATTATAAATTCTTGAATCTAATAGTCGAGAGAATTTGTATGATATTATATCTCATATTTATTTCTGACTTTAAATTTTCATCACAATTATCATAAATAATATTCATATCAATTGTGTGTTAGATATGTAGTGATGGTATGCCTGGCGAGGTGTCGGTGCGCGTAGGCGTCGGCACTAATTGGAGGCACAGATTGTATTAGATTTCATTACTGATGGCGTTATGGCATGTATTATATGTGAATAAATTATATTATTTGCGAGTTAGGGATGCCATTTAAATTGAAAAGTTTTAAATTAAATCTCAAAATATATGTTTGTTTTACTTTTGGATTCTCATATTTCAATTCCCTTTTGCATCCAAAACGTGATTTTCGTACAAATATAGCCACTCTTTTGTTAATTAACTTTTACATTATATTCAATTTAGACTTAAGATTTAGATGAATATTAAAGTAATATATAAATTAAATAAAAATAATGTAAAATCATTATGTACAGTTTTTATCACGAAGTAGTAAGCTATTAGATTATATTAACGGATAACATTCAAGGTTAAATCGCAACTGGATTTTAATTTAAAATTTTTAAATAATTTACAAATGAATAACACAATATAAAATCACTGCCCCTATAGTTGAGTACGTACTTTATGAATGGCCCTAATCCACAAAGGATTTTAATGACAGATTAACTGACGATCAATGAGGAAGTGATTAAAATAAACAGATTTGAAATAAAAATCCTAAAGTATATTCACTATTCAATATCTAACTAAAAATTTAATTTCTAATTCAATTTCAAAATCGCTAATAACTTATACTAGTTGCAAAATATTGAATGTGAAAATAATGATACAATTATTTGTAATTTTACTAATTTTCCAACACTTGTTAGGATTCACGTTTGAAAGACACATGATTATAGGTTAGTAATAATTATAAACTTCTAAATTAAGCGTGCACATTAAATTATTTGCTTGATATCACATATATAGACAAATCATTGAATATAATCGACACAAATAGCGGTTCAACACATAAATCTCATTCCAATGCAAATCAATTAAAACCCAAACTTATACTCAACACTAATAATCAAGTCGTGTATGTAATGATAAAAATAGTAGCTTAAAATTTATAAACCTGATACATAATTTTATTTAAAATCATTTTGCTTCTGAAGTCCCATTACACATTTAAAAATTAATTGCTATTTAATGATTTTTAACTATTTTTATATTGTTGCTTGACAATTAGTATCAATGAATTGCCACAATCATCAGTGTCTCCAAATAATAGTCGTAAGTTTTAACCATATATAACATTTGTTTGAATAATATTTACCATGATAAATATAATTAATTAATTGTATTATTATTATAATATTATATTTTAGCGAATGACTCGATTACTAGTGATCCCGGAAAGCTATTGAAAACAAGCGCCTGGTTTACTGATACCTGGATAATAATTGGAGATTTCTATACCTGGTTCATTAATGTGGGAACCACTGAATTGTGTGAAAATATGACACAATATTTATTCAACAAAAAGTATGGCCTTCTCTGCAAGACATTAGTGTATAGTTTGCGACAAATCGTCCTCAAAACTGATGGAAAAGCCAACTAAACGGACAATAATTTCGTTTTGCTTTTGTTTTAATCACTTAAACTTTTTTTATTATACTGTTTGTACCATATTTTCAATTCAAATGTATTTCATTCATTTGCAAAACTGCATTTTCTATTTATTACACTAAACAATATGTTTGAGCATTAATTGTATCATTTTTGAACAGATCTTATATGTTATTCAACAGTACAGTACAACTCCATTGCCACTCAATACATAACTTATTGTAGTTATTATGACATAAATATTTAACACAAAAACTTGTATTGAGTTTCAGTTTTTTATTTAATTTTTATCAAACTATTCATATCTATTATATAACAAGTCTTATCTCTAGTATTGTA